ATTCTTACAAAAAAATTATTACCATTTAATACGCCCATAAGCATGCAAAATTTTAAGTGCGACCATAATTATACAACTAATTTTTTCCTTCTTTTTAAACATTTTTTTTTTTTTGTAAATTTTTTTTAATTTTTATTTTTTTTTTTTTTTGTTTAATTTTATATAATTTTTCTGAACTTTAACTAATACTGGCGCATTATTTAATTATAATTTTCTTTTTTTGTTTCGTGATATTATTGGTTTTTTTTTGTTTGTTTTTAATTTCTTTAATTTTTTTTCTTTTGTGGTTGTTGTTGTTGTTTTCTAGAAAAACTAATAATTTTTTTTATTGAAATTTTTTGTTTTTTCATTTGTTTAATATTTTTAAATTAGTTTGAGGCAAATATTTTTTTGTATATATATATATATATAAGATAAATATTGTTGTTACGAACATCAAAAAATTACTTAAATATTTTTTTGCTGAGTTTTTGAATAAAAAAGAAAAGAAAAAAAGATTTTTGTTTTTGTTTGCTTTTAAATTAAAAGAGAAAGAAAAAAAGAAACATTTATTTATTAAATATAATTTATTTTTTTTTTTTATTTTGTATTCACTGTTTAAACATTGCAATTTTTTTTTTTTACATTTTTCATAGTATATATATATATGTATATATATATTTTTTAACTTATCCATTATTTAAATAATAAAGATTTTTTTTTTTTGCGAGATAATAATATTCTCTTGTTAATATTTTTTCTAAAAACGCAATTCATTTTAAAGACTATTATATATATATTATATATATATATGTATATATACGTATATATATAAGTGTACAAATATTAATTTATATTTTTTTTATTAATTCATTTTGGTTTTAATAAATATAAGTAGTTTTACAGTTGAATGTAATATAATATAACAAGTATATAATTATAATGTTATAACATGCATACATTATATAATATTTTTATTAATAAAATAAAAGCATCCTTTAATTAGCACGATACATTGGGGCTAAATTCTAAGTATCAAATTACAAAGTAATAATTATATTTATCATAAGTTTCTAAGACTTTATTATAGACACAAACCATTTGTATTTGTATAATTGATTTTGTGTTTACAATAATAATATCGAACTTTTTACGATATTTATTACAATCACTTTAATAATTCCATATTTAGAATTAGCCTCATTTCATTTAATTGCATATGAAGCGATAAAAATTGATTAAATATAGTGCAACAATTCTCGAATAGGTATAGGTAATAAATCGAGACTCGAATTATTTAGCAAGATATAGCAAAATATTTGCCTTTTAATATTACATAATTGAATTATAAAATTTACAAACATTTTTTTTTTAATTGTTTTAATTCAAAATTTTATTTATTTTTTGTTTTTTTTTTTGTAATCAATTATTTTTTACGATAATAATAATCTACTTATTTATTAAAAATATATATGTATAGTTATTGAATAACACAGATCCCATTTTTAATCGTGCTATTCGAAGAATGCTTTTATATATATATACTTTAATTATATTTTATTTATTTTTTTAATATTTTTAAAATATTTATTTTACTATTCCATACTTAATAATCCTATATAATATTTTAATTTTTTCGGTTTTCTTTGTTTTTTAATTTTAATTCGTAATATTAATTTAAATAATTAAAAATATATATAAAAAAAAAGTATTATTAATTTTTGTGTGATTTTGTAAAAAAAAAAAAAAAGGAAAAATGCTAAAGTATAAAAGAATTTCTTTAACTATTTTGAATAAGTGTGTGTATATGTAACTTTTACGATATATGTATGTATATAAAAAAAAATTCGAATTTTAAATAATAAATTATAAAAATTTTTTTCTCGTAATTTTGTTTTTATAAATATAAATATAAATTATGTATAAAATTTATTTTGCAATTAAAATAAGTATAATAAATTTCCATTTAATTGATTTTAACATAAAATGTGCAGTTTTAATTTTATATATTGTATAATAAGTATATGTACAATACATATAATATGTAATATATTATAAATATTATTTATTGTATTAAATATTTTATTATATTAAAACTGTTAAATATTATTAGATTTACAGAATTATGGTAAATGAAAAATTTATTTCAGAGATCAGACAAAAATTGATTCACTGTCATATTGTATAAATTGACATTGTTTAATGTTTCTAAAAAAAATTTAATATTAATAGTCATATAGACAGTTAGAGTTTGTTGATAACAATTTAATTTTACCATAACTCTTATTGCGAAAATTTGAGAAAATAAAACATTAATTCAAAAAAAAAAATGGTGCAATAAAAGCATTAATTTTCTATTCATTTCTTACATAAATGTAGACAATTTTTTTTTTTTATTTAGTACAAATATTAAATATTTTTAATTCGGCATATTCCAAATGAATAATTTTAAGTTTTAAATTATTTTTACATTTCAATTTTTAATGTCATTTTCATTTAATTAAAATTACTTTATCGTTTATTAGTTGAAACAAAGCCTGAGTATCAATTTATAACAGTGCATTTTACTTTTACAAAGGAGGTATTTATGAAAGCTCAGTGCTGAACTGAGAGTTCTAAGAAAAACCAAAAAATTTTTTACGTCAAGGAAAAGAAGATATCTGAAGTGGCAGCAATTAATTTTCAATAACACTGTATGCAACTTTATTTCTGAAGATAAAGAATTGTTAATAATAAAAATTCAATCTGTATCAAAATTTTATCAATAAATCGCTAATAAAATCTAATTTTTATAGATAATAAATGTATATCAAATGTATTCTTAATTAATTTTCTCGATGTCATGGACGTAACATTCAATTTTTCACTTTATAACTCACTGCTGACCATTAAAATCAAAAAAGAGAAAGCTTAATAAATGCACATTACTTTTAAACTTTTTCATTATTCTCTTTTCAAAATATTATTTAAATAAATTATAAATGTTAAACTCATGATCTAAATATTAAAATATAATTTATGAGTATGAACTTATATGCATATATAACAATTGTTTATCAAAAATATATACAATTAAATTTAAATTAATTTTCACGAAAATTTCAATTTTTCTAATTATTCTTATTTTAACATAAACATCATGCAGATAAATTAATTAAATGCAATTTTTTTTGGTAAAATATGAAAATGTAAACAATTAATTAGAATCGTATATGTATATATAAATATAATTATGGCAATAAAATAAAATACATAATTACATGTATAAAAATATAATTTAGAATGTCATGTCATACTCGAAACTAATGATCAATGGTGAATTTTATCTGCTTTTTCTAGATGATGTAATAGTCGAGGAAATTATTGTGCATTCTACTTACATTATTACGTGAATAGAATTTATATTGCATTTATATATTATATATATATATATATATATATATATATATATATATATATATATATATATATATATATATATATATATATATATATTGAATATATGATTGAGTATAAATAAACTGTTAAGTTGAAATTAGCCCAATTTTTTTATATTGTTGGTAGTAAATTGAGTTAAGTGAAAATCAATTATTATAATTGATATCAGTGAACAAATTGAATATGATATTTTTTTATATATATATATACTTACATTGTTTTAAATTAATTGAATTTTTTTAATGTCAACATTCAATATAAAGTAATGGTAATATTATTTTTTATATATTTTTTTTTAAAGTATGTATGTATGTACGTTAGATATTTCTATTAAATATTAATATTCTGGTGTTGCATTCTATTTTGAAATTAAATAGGTAGTTGATTAAGTAAAGAATTCAAATTTATTAGTAATATTTTTTGGGGACTAAAATTTAATATGTTCTATTATTTAGAACGTAACTGTACGAACTGAACGAATGTAGAACGTAAACTGTACTTTTGAAAATAATTGTAAATTAATTATTATGCTTTGAATATTTCATAAAAAGACGATCTTTAAAAATTTGAATATTAACAAATATGAAAAATAGTTACAATTTTCATATACTTAATTATTACGTTTTTGTTCAGAGAAATTTTTGCATTTTTTTTTTCCGACTCAATTATTCTTAATTAATTTTAATTAAATAAAATTAAAATAATAAATTGTGCCTTTACTACGAATATTCTAAGATAATAAATGGTTAATTTCAAAATATATATAGGTTTTGAAGTTATTGGTATAGTTTTCTAAAAAAATAATTCTTTATATTTATAATAATAAATTTGAAATTGCCGAATTATATATACCTTCTTTAATAAATAGCAAAATTTTTAACATATCTGTGATACAGAAAAATACAAATGAATGTTTTTAAAGAATGCCCACGGGGAGCTCCTCCTCACATAGAGAGTTTCCGATAGTGGTAACTCACAAGCGAAAGGGTAACCTAACAGAAAGTGCTAAAGCATTAGCGGAAAATATCAAAGATGACCCTAGAAGGATAAGATGTTTCTTTGCCCATTAGCAAGGTTTCTTCAAGCAAAGACTATTTTGTATAAATTGATTTTATATAAATAAATAAAATAGAATTTTCTAAAATATGTAAAAAATATGCAACTTGATTTAGAAAACAAAAATATACCAAATTACACTTATAAAATATTTTAGTGGAAAAAAACACCACCGAAATGATTATTGCATGATCTCAATATACTAAGTATGCTTATTTCACATTTTTTTTTTTTCTAGCAACAATAATAATATTTTAACAATATATTATTTTTCAATATTTTTAGTTCTATTTCTCAAAAATTTATTTAATAATATATAACAGTAAATATTTAATAAAAACATTATAAATATTTATAAATATAATATAGATATACATAAAATTGAAAGATTTATCTTGATTTGAAACATTTAAAATAAATATTTAAATAAAAAATATATATAAAAAAAAAAATACTTATATGTACTTATACATAAAAGAAACAACAGATTAAATATATTACAATTTATTTTTTCTTTTATTGTTTTTCACTCATATATTTTATAAGTACATATAAGTTTTTAATATATCTATAGTAATATTATCATTATAAGTATGATTATTTATGTAATATTAAATATAATTTATATTATTAATAATTATTTTAATATGTATAAATACAAAATTAATAATAAATTACTTACTTTTTTATGTATATTTTCATTAATATATATATATATATATATATATATATATATATATATATATATTATATAAATATATATTTGTATATTAATCTATTGAATTGTACAACAATTACATTTTTTATTCTTTTTCTCTTCAATAACAACATAACTTGCTGATGCCGGTCCTGGTACCGTAGTATTTGATACTTTTGTTGTTGTAGCTGATGTTTTATCATTATTAGTTTTATCATTATTAGTTGTTTTTGTTGAAGTTGTTATTGTTGTTGTAGTTGTTGTAGATTTTTTACCATTTTGTGCAGATTGTTGCTGTTGTGTTGTTATATGTTGCTCTTTTATTTGAATATCTTTAGAACCGGGTTTAGCAGATGATGAAATTTGAGTAATTTCTTTTTTTTCAACAGTACCATTTATAATAGTATGATTATAATCACCAGTTGGTGTAATTGGTTTACCATCTCTAATAAGATTAACAATTTCATCAGCTTCTCTTGATAGATCACCTTCTGGTCGAAATGGATTATCCCAACCAGATTCGGTACTTGTTTGAGTATTTAAAACATGATGATGATGATGTTGTTGTTGTTGTTGTTGTTGCTGTTGTACGGCTTCCATATTTTTTTTTATTTTTTTAAATTTTTTTTTATATTAAATTTAATACTTAATTTATATATTTTAAATTTTACGTTTCGATATTATTATTTTATAAATATATTGTTGCTTTTTTTTTTTCAAAAAATAACTTGTTTAATTTAATAAGAGATGTGTGTGTATGTACTTTGTTTTCGTTGGGTGTAGATTTGTCGAAGTTAGAAATGTATAAATTTGTCACAGAATGTTTTTAAAAAATAACATTTATAAATTTATAATAAAATTTTTTTTTTCTATGATTATAAGGATTCTTTTTTTTTTTTTTGAAGTTTTAGTATAATTTCTTTCAAATTTTTAAAAATAAATTTTAATTGAAATTTAAATATAAAGTATAAATAATTTTCTTTTATTTTTGTTTTGTTTTTTTTTTTTTATTATATATTATTAAATGCAATGTTTTTATAATATTATCGTTATAATTATATTTTTCTGTTATACATATGTATATGGTATGTTTATTCCAATTTTTTTTTTTGTTGTTTCCAAAGTAGGGTAGAGAGCCTTTCTATATAGTCAAGTATATATAATAATAAAATATTATTATTTTATATGTTCTTTTATACACACTCACTGTTATAGTGTTGCTTTTCAAGTGGTAAACAATATTGTTTTGTTTTGTTTGTAAGTAGATATATAGGTAGAAATCGCATGTACACAATTTATATAGAGATGACAAATCAGCACGATATATGAACTTCCTCTCTAGTTTAATTAAAAATTGAATAACATTTTATTTTGTTTTATTTTTATATATTATGTACTTATATATTAAAATTTGTACATACCTATGTATATAATAAATTAAAGCGAAACTTTCTTTCCAATTTTAGGTGTATTGTATTTAATTTAATTCAGAACAATATAATTTTTTTTTTCTATTATCAATGAAAGTTTATTCTTTATACTTGTACACATTTATGTGTTATTTTCTTTTTTGCTTTTGCTTATCTTTTTTTTTCGATATTCGTTATTCTTTTTTTCTTTAGTTCTACTACTACTGTTCTTCATTCGTTCACCAGTAATTTAGATTACAATATACTTATAGTTTTTTAAATACAATTATAGTAGAATTTATTTATTTATTTATTTGTTGTTTGTATCTACTAAATATATAATTAACACTCTCCATAAAATTACATCACCCATATATTATTATAAGCAGGCACTGGGTTGTCAAAATTGAGAATTTTATTTGTGTTGATATTGGGTGTGTTCGTATATGTTCATATCATTATTTTTTATTAATATTATTATTTATTTTTATGTACTTTTATATTATAAACTTTTCTAAATATTTTTTTTATATATTTTAATTATAATTTAATAATAATTTGGTAGGTAACTTATTTAATATCGAATTAAAATTAAAAATATCTGTACTGTACTACTTGTATTGTATATAAGTGGGTATGTGTATATGAAAACATGTAATTATATACTTTCACCTTTTTCTTTTTAATTTTTTTTTTCAATTAAAAATAAAAAATTTAATAAAAATACACGATTAAATAAAAATTTATAATTGTAAATATATGGGATCAATCTATATAATAAACATCACAACTGTGGGAAAAAAATAATAAGAAAGAAAAAAATAAATGTATTTAATATAAAAAATATTTTTAAAATAATTTTTACGTGATGTATTTTATTTTTTCTATTTTCTTTCTAATTGTAAATATATACAATAATTTGTATATATTTTTCTATTTACGATATATGAATGTATGTATGTATTAATAAATTTTTATATATATGCAACAATACAACTCTAGGAAAAAAAAATTTTTTTTTCTCTTCGCTATGATCTCATCCAAAAAAATTTTTTTCTTGTGGATGAAGAAAGGTAATTAAATTTAATGTGTTATTTTAAACTTTTTTTTTAATTTTATATTTAAATTCAAAAAGAGAAAAAATTTTATTAACTAATTCCTAATTATTTTAAAATATTTTTTTTATCACTTTTTTTGAGTTTAAATTTTTTATTATTTTTGTTAGTTACTACACAATATATTCTTCTCCTCTTTTAATTTTTTTTTTCTAAAATACAATATAAAACTAAAAATATATCTACTTTTGACTTTTGCTACGTATAATATGATGGATAAAATATCTACTCCTCATTTTTTTACATTTATAATTTGACAATTTAGCTTCTTCCCTTGCTGTTTTATCTTTTTTTTTTGCGCAAGTGTTTACAATAACCATTATTGACATATAATACAGGGTAATTAATGAAATGTCAATATGTTAAAAAGAAATATAGTTTATAGGTGTTTCCGTATTCATTTATATTTTTTTGACAATAAATTCTTGATCATGTACATAATGCTAAAAAGTAAGAATATAATGGAGATTTTGAATGTTGGTAAAATTTTTCGAAAATGAAGTTTCTATTTTCTGGAAATACTCTAAAAAATAAATTAATGTATCACAGAATTTCCAATTAAAAATGATATTTTTCGAAAACAAAATTTTAAACGTGTGAAATGAAAATAAGTATAATCAATATTTTTTGTTGTCACTTGAAAAACTAGGAAAAATACTTTGTTGTAACATAGATAGGCTAGAAACTAGACTAGAAAAGGCATTGCTTACAAATAATTAAGTGTCTATTATTCGTTATTGTCTATTGTCATTGATTATACATACATATTGACTTATACGTTAAGAGATGTTCAAAAACACTACTGCTGTCAGGAATACCACACAAACTTCGTTTTTTGAATGAATCGGTGTTAAGCCGTTACAGTGTTAAGCTTTGACGTTGTGTATAAGTAGCTATTTGAACTCAAGTGAAGTATATATGCGCTAAAAGTGTTCAAATATAAAAATAATTTTTCTAACGAAAAGATTTTTTATTGAAATTTTTGTTGTCTAACAAAAAAATACTTATTTAAATTCTTAGAGTTTAATATAATAAAATCTCAAAAGTAAAGATTTTTCGCTTTGACTTAAAAATTTGAAGTTAAATGTGTATTAGTATTTTACATTGCCATTCATGTTTCAAAGTACATTCATACTTTTTCGCAAATATATACTCATTTTAAAAATAAGTCATGTTCATAATAATTATGTCAAAACTTATGCTGTCAAAAGCATCTGTTTGATATTTTATATGTCAAAGTAAATTTTTGTTCTAATGTTGTCCATAGTTCGCATAAAAAAGATAATGATTTACAATTTAATGTAAAATTATAAACCAGCAAGTTTATAAACAATTAAGAATTTGCAATTTAATTTTATAACGTTAAAACTATAATAGTTAGTACAATGTCAAAAAAATTTGGTAGCACCTACATGGGTAAGCTAAAGAGCTATGCAATTTAATTTTCAAAAAAAATAAAAGCAGTATAATACGAAAAAAAATATACTTTAAAAAAACTACAAGATAAGCGTAGGTATTATACTTTTGAGTAATGGTAACAAAAAGCAGTGGCGTATATTGTTTCTGCGTTCATTTCAATAAAATCAAATGTCATCAAAATGTATTTTTCATCCATATTCTCATATTTTCCATTCACGATTAAACAAAATAGAAATTAAAAATAACAATCAACTTTAAAAGAAAATCGTGTAATTTCTTTTTGCAACATCGGGACTTTATGAACATGTTCATCCAAAATATTGTTTTATTGTAATTTAATTTGTTAGAAATGTCATTGAATATATTTTTTAATTAGCTATAAAAATCTTAAATAAAATCACGCTCGTTCTCCAAAAAAAGTTATGTTATTAGAATTAACATAGCAAAAATTTATTATATATATTTTATATTTATTCGATATGCTTTAGAGGTGTTTCTATGTACTCTGTATATGCGATTGCGGAGTCAGCAATGATATTTACTTATATTTTTAGTGGCAGAAATGTCTAAATTCCAATTAGAAAATTATATTTTTTTTTTGACAAATCAAAGGGAAGAACTCTAAAGGGCGATTTGAAAGCATATCAACAATAGCGTTGCTTTGACAGTTTGTTGATGGCGGTCATTACCAAATAAAACAACATAATATTATTGTCATATTTTAAATGTATTAATTTGTTTATACTTATGGATAATATAAATTTTGTTATTTAATTTTTATTAAGAATTTCATTTATAAAATAAATAAAAAATAAAATGAATAAAAATAAATTACAATGTGGAGTTCCACAATGCAACAACTATAAAGGCGGCACTATAACTATGCATAAGATACCTCGGGAAATTTTAAACAACAAAAGCAAAAAAAGAGAATGGATGCGCGCTTTAAAAATCAGAAAAGATTTTCCTAACAACTTTATAATTTGCAATGAACATTTTGTTGATAAATATCTGATTCGTGTATTAAAAAAAGACGATAAACAAGGCAAAAAATATGTGCGTCTTTCAAAGAAAGCTATACCAACTGAAAACTTACCGGAATCAATTGCAAAGTCAAAACATCTAGCAAAGAACTCGCAAGGTATACTGGTTATATATATAGATTTAAATATAGGAAAGAATGTATTCTCTTTTTACAAATTTTCTTTTACAAATCCACTGTTAGGTTTTTAATCAATTCTGATATTACAATTATGTGTGCGATCACAGTAGTTTCCAATAAATCATCAATAATACTTACATACATATGCAGTAATAAAGGAAATTGAGTTTACTAGGTGCAATGTTGTATTAACAAAATGCCAATATGACATTGATAGCAAATAATGCTAATTGCTTTATAATAATTTTTTAATCAGATATGGTTATTTCTACATTTTTTTGTTTTTATAATTATCATACAATTAAGACCTTATTTATAAAATACTAATAATGTAATTTTAATTTTAGAGAATTTTCTAAAACGCAAACATTTTCGCAATGACAGTCCTGTAAAGATAGTAAACGAACCCATTCATGATGGCCCAGATATTGTTAGCGCCAGTACAGAAGCCAGTAAATTTGAAAATTCTCCGGAATATGAAACGCAGCATAAAAAATCCGTTAATGACGAAATGGATGCAGATGCGGATGATGAGGAAACTGTGGCTTTAACTTCTTCTCTTTTCATCGATTCGCCAAGTGATGACGATACTAAAAATAAAAATTTGGAGAGTTCAAAGGCTGCAAATAAGGCAATATTGAAAAAGAGAATTAAAAAAGATAAGGCTATTAAAGGAAGAAAAAAAATTTTACCGAGGGAAAATACAGATGATGGATTATTGATTGAACATGATTTTTCAAAACATGTGAAGCCATTTCAATTTGGAAGCAGCAATCGTGCACCAGGTCATCGACGTGAAAGAAAGAATTTAAATAAAGGTTCAGTAGCAGTTCTTAAAAATTGGATATATAAACATCGTTATTATGCATATCCCACTGAAGATGATAAAATGCAATTAGCAGAGGAAACGGGACTGTCCCTCCTTCAAGTATACATATATAATTTTTTGTTTTAGTAAATTTATCAATTTTGCAAAACAAATTTTTCTAGATTTCAAATTGGTTTATAAATGCACGAAGAAGAGTTTTACCTGAATATTTAATGAAAGAAGGATTAATTTTAGGAAAAGATAAAGCTGCTTTTATTATTAAAAAAAGGCCAAGAGCTGAAAATACTGAAAACAAGGATGTTATTAAGAAAGAAAAGAGTTACAAAAATGACGAGGAAGATATAAATAAAGATGTGGATGTAGAGCCAATTCGAAAAAAAGCTAGTGTGAAGCCTACCAAAAAAAAGAAAGATGTAGAGCCAATTCGTAAAAAATTTGATAAACAAGAAATTCAACCAAAAGTTGGTACAGATGAAATCCGAAAAAAGGTTGAACCAGAGCTAATTGGAAAAAAAATTCAAGTGGAACAATTAAAACAAAAAGCGGTTGTGGAGCCAGTTAGAAAACGAGATGACATAGATTCAACCAAGTTAAATAAATTAGACAAAATAAAAGAAACTGCTACAAAGTTAAAAGAAGAACCTCTTAAAGTGTCTTCACCTGAAGTGGAATTAGAAAATACTAAAAGAGAAATCATTTTTTCGTCAACTCAAGATGGAGTTCGTCACGTCATAGGTCACAAAATCATTAATTTAGGAACGGGGAAAGTAATAAAGTTGGAAATATATAGTAAGCAAGGCTCCAAATCAAAAACTGATATTGAAAAGAAAGGTAGAATACTGTCATAAACTATTAAATCTGTTTTATGCTTAAATGTTTTTTTAGGTGTTCAGAAAAATTCAGCTGAATTGGAATTGAAAAAAAAAAATTCAATCCAAACCGAGAATAAATTTGGTTTCAAAAAATCTCTTGAAGAAAAAGATCCTTTACAAATTGAACCAGAAGATGTTAAAATATTTTCTACGTTGAATGCAAGTGAACCTGAATCAATTGACAGAAGTGACAAGGAAGTGATTGTCCTTGAAAACAAATCTGGAAGTGAAGGTAGCTACAGCTTAGTACCCAAGAAAATAAATTCGAATGAAAATTTGAAATCACGCAGTTCTTATGAAAGCAATAATAATAGCCCAAGTAGAATTAAAGAATTCGATGATAAGACTACAGATGTTTCAGAAACATCACAGTTATTTAAAAACTCGAGTAGTGGTTATAATTATAAAATTAATAAAATTCAAAATTCAAGGTTATCGGAGTCAAGATCACATCCAAGTTCAATTGTTTCGAAAATTAATAGCAATAAAATTAAAATTAAACCAGTAGCAGCGTATAAGTCTTCATTTAAATATCAAACGAAAGAAATTAAATTAAATACGTCTATTAAACTCAATCCCACAAGTCAAGAAAAGGAAATCGAAGAAATTACGCCACCTAAAGTTAAATCGAAAAAAATTGAGCTCAAAGATATTAAGCCAAGTAACTCCTTAAAATCAGATGTTAAAAGTAAAGAAAAAGAATTTCAACCAATTATTACCTTTAAAAATGTACTGAAAGATCAGCAAATCAAAGATACTTCATCAATTAGAAATGTAAAACCGACACTGAAGAGCTCGGACAAACAAGTTCAAAAGAAAATTATTCTTTCTTCAGGAGGAAGTAAGAAGGAGATTATTTTGAAGGAAAAAGTTAAAAGTATAGACTCAGACAGGAAAATAGATCCCCCAAATATGAATTTTGAAAATGTAGAAACTTTCAGTAATGATGTAAGCAATAGTTTTGCTAATACAAATTGTCGGGATATTATAATTAAAGGTAAGTTTATATATATATATATATATATTTAATTATATTTATTTATCGATATTCATATTACTTTTTACACCAGTTTAAACCATCAGTTACAGTTAATTTAAATTTTAAATAAACTTTAAGTTAAGTTTTTGGCTAACTGAACATGATTTTTTTTTGTTCTTATAATGTCTAATTAACTGTCATTAATTAGTTTCCTATATTTTATTTGTATTTACTAACGAATATCAAAAATCTATTTGGAAAACTTTGTTTTGCAATTGAAAAAAATGTTGATAAAATTTTAAATTTGCTTTTTAGGTATATGTAAACAAGCAAAGCGTGCAAAATGTTTATATATGTTAGTAGACGATAATGAAAGTGATTCTGATGTTGAATATTCGGATATTGATGACGATTATTGTGACGAAATGCAAGAAGAAATTTTGGAAGATGATGATTTCGAATTTTAATTTATGGAGAAAATAAAATATTTTTTCTATAATTAAAATATACATATTTAAAACTTTAATGTTATTAATTTTTCGGATACAAATTACATTCATTTAAGATTAGGTATATTAAATTTTAAAAATTTTATGTAAATGAGACAGTTAAAATAGTTCTATAAAAAAAAGTTAGTGTCGCGATATATATACATACGTAAATAAAAAATTTTGAGTTATTTTTTAGTTTGCATGAAGAGAAAGAAATTCTTACAATCTAATTTTTTTTTGTAAGAACGTACATATAAGAATTTTAGTACATCCGTTTCAATTTCAATTGTATTTTTCTCATTACTAAATTCTAAATTAAATGTTTCATATTTTCCAATAATTTCCAATGAAAAAGAAAATTTGTAAAAACGGAATGAAATTTTGAAAATATAGTACAATTTTTTTTCTAGTATAACTTTTAATATGTAAGTCCTTGACAGTATGGTTAGGTTAATATTTCAATTGCTACTCTCAGCAAAACATTCAGCCTCTTCATTATTCATATGTGTGAATTCAACAAGTGTTTGTAATTGAAAATATATACATTGTCTCATTCTAATATTTTCTTTAAAATGTAAACAGAAACACTAAAACAATAAATAAAATGTACTATTGCTAAAGTGAGATAAATATATAAATTTTAATAAAATCTATTAGAATGTTTTCATTTCATTTTTTCTCTTCAATCTTTTTGTTGCAGGAAAATGTCATTTTTGTTGCAGCACATTTTTTATTTGATATTTAACAATTTCGTTATTATAATTCCTCTCAATCATCTATTAAAATACTTTACAACAATTCTTAATCGGAGTTGCTTTGTTATGTTTTATATTAAAAAAAAATTTATTTGCCAAACTTTAAAAAAAAAGTTTGTCGAGTGGCTTTTTGCAGAACAAAATGATTATCAAATATAAAGCACACGAAGTACTTAAAATAAAATAAAGCTAGTTTTAGGCAAAATCATAACATGTGGGCAAAATTATAACCTCTAAAAAGCACTCTTGTTTTGATCGTTCTACCAAAATTTTGCTGCACGTAATGGTATAAAATATTTTTGGTATCTATTAAAGAATCTATTGTTAACCAATACTATTAGATATTTGGTTAAAACTACATGTTAATAGTCTGCTTTTCGTAAATAGACTGGAGTTGCTGAATTCCAAAACACACTATACATTTATGTATATATATCTAGTTGTAAAACTCAGCAATATTTTAGAGACTTAAATAAATAAATGACTGCTGCTTTCATGTTTAATATTGAATCAAATCTTCCTAGGAAAAAGGTTTTTTAAAAATTTATAAGAAAAAGGCAAAATTAAAACTCTTGGAATTACCTTAACGAATAAAAAAATATTCCAAAACTGCAAATCCAAAAATAAATTTAATTAATTAATACGGGGCAAATTGGCAACACTGTTTTCAATCAAAACATAAATGGTAGAACTGTTAAAGTACATTTTGTTGTGCTTTGTTCATATTGCAACATGATTTTTAATCTCAAACACATAAACTAACAAATCCAACCAATATATTACCAATATTACTCTGAAAAGTTGAATTTGTATTATTGTTGTGTGTAGGAATTTATCGCTCTTCTTCAACATCTTCAACTTCAACATATTCAACAAAATAAATAATAAAGGAATGTCAATGAGACATTTTCTCATTTTGAAGTTATTGAATTTTCCTTGGTTTCATTTGATCTCATTCAGTTATGAGTCTTTATTGCGTTAAGGTCATAGATTGTTATTCGTGATTAAATATTTTTTTTTTCAAAAAAAAAAAAAACTAAGAGTGTCGTCGTTTTTTTTTCAAATTATTTTTATTTTGGTTTTTTGTTTTATTTTTTTTTTCTTATTTCTTTTGAGAATTTTATAATAATATTATATGAGTAAAAATGTATGTGGTTAATTCAGATTTAAGATTTTAAAAAAAAATTAAATAAAAATAAAAACAAAATTAAAATGTATAAGAAATTAATATTATTTTTTATTTAAGAAAAATCGCAGTTACATAACCGGCCATTTCCTTAAAATTTTTTAAAAAGTGAATTTTTTTTAAATTAAATTTTTTTTTAAAAAACAAACACAAAAAAAAATCTTAAGTGCATTCAAAATTATTTCTTTAATTTGAATTAAAAAAAAAAAAAGAAAAAATAAAAGAGAATAAATTTCTTTGTTTCACTAAATTTGTTATTCCTCTCTCTTTCTTACACTTTAAAAAATTATCGAATCGAGCATCGAATTATAGGGCTTTGCAAATTGAAAATTAATTGAATTAATTTTTAAGTTTTTGACAAATTCCTTGCATATATTTATTCATCAAACAATTTTAATTTCTTTAATTAAAACAAAATGAAAATTCATTTATACTAGAAATCTGTCATAATGAAATTGAATTTATTTAAGTATATCTACATAGGGTATATTGAAATTGCATGAATTATTTTAATTGTTACCACATATTATAGTAAAAAATTATATTTAGTAATTTCAAAATTTATTGATTTTGTAAATTTTGAAAATTTGGAAAATTCGGAAAAGTTCCGAAAATTCAAGAATATAAAAATATTGAATTTGAAACAAATTTAATTTTTACAGTTTTCAATAATTTTGTTTGCCGACAATAATGTTAAATTTTGCTTGCTTGCCCAATTTATGTAATTCGAGACTTGTACTTTCACAGTATTAGCATTACAAAATAATGACACATTAAACAGGTACTAATTTTACATATTTGATTTAAAAATAAATAAATAGGAATTTCAAATTTTACTAAATGAACTTAGTAACACACTTAAAAATTTTCATAATTTATTTATTTTTTTAATTCTATTCAATAATATGTAAATGGTATTGAAATTGTTGAAACTTTTCCAATAAGTATGTACATATGTAGTGTGCTTTATAATTTTACTATTTGCTCCTTTATCCTGTACCAAATATGGCAGAATATTTAGGTTTTAAATAATTTATTTAAGTATAACAGAAAAAAAAAACTTTAAAGTCTTTTGTTTTTCTAATATTATGTTTGCTTTCATATCTAATATATTTTTAGGTATACATGTACCTATTTTTACAATAAGTAAATACATAATTTTATTATTTAAAATAAAAGTGTTAAAGTACATTATTTATACATACATACATGTGATTGTATAAAATTAAATATATATATAATTATGTATGTATAACAAAATTATTTCATATTAAAATGAGAAAAAGAAAATTTAAAAATATAATAAAAAAATTTACATAATAAATTAATATTATAAATAATATTAAAAAAAAAATATATATTCTATTAATATATTTAAATAAATTATCAATAATTATTATATTATTGTTAAATAAAAAAAAATTAAAAATTAAGTATAGTTGAAAAATTAGTGCACATCTTTAATGGTATATAAGTAATGAATTAATAATAAAAAATTTAAAAAAAATTAAATTAATATTTTAAAAATTTCAATAATAATTAAATATTTTTCATTAATTATTAAAAAATAGAATGATGTTAAAACACACAAAATTTAATTTAAAGTAAATAAAAAAAAATTACCGAATACTAAATTAAAAGAAAATAAAATTTTTTAAAAATTTCAACTCAATAGTGTAATTTATTATTACGAGTATTTAAAATAATTTTGAATTTTAAAAATTTAAAATAATTTTTAATTTTTTTTTTATTATAAAACTTTAAAAAATTTTTATGAGAGCAATTATTAATTTGTTCATTTTGTTATTATTGTTCTTTTAATTTAAAATTTTAAGTAAATAATTCAATAATATTAAATATATATACAAATATATGTATGCACATATATAAAAAAATATATAATATATAAGTATTTCGGAATTAAATGATATAGAATAAAAGGAATATGCCATGGGATCTTGTACGAGACGACACTTTTTATTGTCAACATGTTTTTTACAGTTGGTAAGTTTTCAAAAATTTTTTATTAAATATGAATTTGTAAAGAGTTAAACGAAAATTTCAAATTTTAAATTTTAATTCGATTATTAAGTAATTCAATTTTTGTGAAAAAATTATTTCTTTCAATAAGAATTCAATTCTATATGTTCTAATTAAATATTATATATATATTCATAAATTACTTATGCCGCTTATTTACTTAAAAAATTGGATGTACAATAATCAATAAGAATATTTTATAAATGGTTAAATTTGGTTCTGAAATTCAGTACTTAATTATAATTATATCATTTAATTTGAATTAGGTCTATAAAGGTATTAATATATTCATTTAATTCTGGAACTTAATTAAGTTAATTTTGGTTTACTGAAAATCTTAATGTATCATCGGAGCTCGTAATATTTTCTAAATTTTAATATTGTCGAAATTCTGAATACTTTTATTTTTAATGTGGAATTTTTTTAGCACTCATTCTGTTCTTATAATTAAGTATTATAATTAAATAAGTATTACTAATTTGTAAATTATTCACAATAATCATACTACCTGCATATATTTTGCATTCTCCTTTAATATTTTCTATTTGCATGGCCGGTAGGAGAGGGGGGGGGGGATTTATTTAAGCATTCAATTATTTTTATTTGCGTTCACGCATGTTATTTGCTAATTTTTATATAAATTAAATGAATTTATAGTTTTATTATTTTTAGTTTATATAATAGCTTGGAAATTTTCAATAAGTAAATATTTTCTATTATATACAATTTATTATCCAATTAATAAAACATACAATTATTTGGGTTTAAAAATTGAATTCAGTTTTTTTTTTTTATTTATTTGGAATATTGTCGAAAGACGGTTGAGTGCCTTTTATTTTGCCTTTTCGTTTATTAGGTTAAAATAATAATAATAAATAATATTTTTATTAGAGAATAAAAAAAAAATTTTGTTCCCCTTTTTTACGATATAGTATGCAAAATATTGTATACTTAAGTATAACGAAAATTTTATTTTTAGAAATTATTAAATAAAAATAAAATACAATTTTTGATCTTTTTTTTTTTTTTGATGAAAAAATATATTTTAGGTATGAAAATAATTTTCTAAATGAAAATTTTTATTTATAAATAGGTACTTAGAATTATCAACAATATGGTTTCTATGTGCATTTTATTGACATACATATATGTATATATATATAAAATATATTATTATAAAAAAACTAGAGTAATTTAGTATACATAATCATATTTTGTGTTTTATATTGTTATATTAATTTGTTTATTTTTTTGCTTAATCACTGAATGTACGAGTATAACAAAATAATGAATTCCTGAATAATTAAGTATTATGTATATGTATATTGATACTAAAAAAATATTTATTTTTAATGATTGACATTTAATATTGTTATACTTAATAACAAAAATATTATTTATTAATTGATTATAAGTATTATAAGTAGGTAGTTTTGATTAATTTCATTTTAATAATTTTATTTTTATATATTTTTCAATAATCTATTTTTAATATTGAATGAATGAGCGTAACATGAAGTGATATAAAATAGGGGATTACAAGAGTTAATTATTATATTATTGATAATAATTTAATCACATATTTTTTTTTATTTAAATAACAATTCGATAAATGTACGTGTATTTGATTCGAAAATTGATTAATATGATTACGAGTTAGTTCTATTCATGTATATATATATATAATGTATTTAATATATATTTTAATTATTTGAAGAAATGAGATTCCCTGTTTTATCTAATTATTATATTTGTCAAAGTATTTTAGATCATGTCAAATTTGAAGTGATTTTTTTTGGGCTTTGTTATAAAATTATGATAGTATAATAAAAAGGTAAATATTTTGTTTATAAATTTAAAATTTATTGAGGATTATAGTATATATTCAAGTCTATGATTATGATTATAAAATAAACGTGACCTCATAAATTTTATATATATTTACTTTTATATATATATATATATATAAGTATGTATAACTAAATATGAATTTTTTTCCGAAATATTAATGCTTTTTAATAGGAAAACTATAAGCAAAAATTATAGAAAATGTCTTCCTAGTTCAAAAATTTGAATTTTAGTATAGGATTACGGTAAATTTCTATTTTTAGTTTTTGACAACTCTAATCATCCCAAATCTTCTGTTACCGTTAAAGATTAACAATTCTTTTTTGTAAAACGTGATTGTTTACTTCTATATTCGTAAATTTTTTTCCCTGAAAATATTTATGAATATATTAGTAAGGAGTATGCTCCTATTGCTCCTATTTTTTCTAGATATATTTAATGTATATGTACACTAATTGAAATGAAAATTGCTTAAGTGGAAAAAGACGTATTTTGAGCAAACTAAATTTAGAGATAATAGATACAATTTTTTTATTTTTATCCAAAATTAAGTATAAATTCGGAATTATGTAGTATGTACACTAATTATATACTTAATATAAGTAAGTATAAAATTCCAGCTGACTTAAAATAATTGGACTCGCAATTTTAATTTGAAAAAATCATAATTTCGTAAATAATTAATTTTGATTACTTAATCAAATTTTGGCAGAAAATAGATTCAAACATAGAGAACTTAAATTTTGAATAAACTAAGAATTTTTTAATTTGGACAAAGTATGTAATAGAGAGCAGCTTTTGCTCTATACCATATACTTAGTTTATCATTTTTTATAAATTGTAAAAAGGTAACCACAAAATTGTTTTTTATTTATTTTAATAAAATAGAAAAATTTGAGAATTTTATTGAAATTAAAAATTTTATTTCTCCAAAGCAAAAGAATTATGGTAGCGTCTTAAACGTTTTATATGCAAAGCAAGGATATTCAGATTTGTTATTCTCCCCATATATAGTAAATCAGCAGTGGTTGTACTCTTAAATGTTTTGAGCAATACAAAAGGATTATTGAATATACAAAAATATTTTAAAATTTATTATTTTCTATGGTACCCGATGACTTTTCTTATAGATTTATGACTAAAATCAATTTTATTTTCCATTTATTCAATGAAACAGCTTTACAGTTTTTGTGCTTCGAAAATGCAATTTTATCTACTGCATTACTACATTTTACTTATATACATATAATATTACTATATTTACGTAAATTTGCCTATTCTTATTTAGAAATGAAATGGAAATTCTGTTCACATTTAACAATGTGTATGCTTATAATGGTATAAGTATATATACTCGTAAATCCGGTACGTCAATTATTATGGATAAAAATTTCATATGTTCTTACATTTGTATAAGGTGTATATATATATATACGTATATAAAAGTGTATGAAAATGCATGTGATATTAAAACATTTCGTGCATGTCCTAGTTTTTTTTTCCTTTATTTTTTTTTTAAATTATTCAGATTTGGTCATATATAGTAATAACCGAAAAACTATTCAAGGATAAAATTTGAAAAGGAAATCCAAATGGATCAAGATATTTACTTTATGGTTACAAAATATGTATACATATAGATATGTAGTTAAAGATTGTGTATAGATATTAGAATTTATGTACACGTTCGTACCCTATTAGTGTAAAGTGAATTAACGTGACCTAGAAGAAATCACATTTTAAAATAAAATAAAGTAAATATGTAGATATATAGTTGAAATAATGTATATAATATTGTGTCCTTTGAATTTTTATATGATCTTTCGAATTGGATTTTTAAGAAAATATTAGTGAATACCTTTGATGAATTTTATATAAGTAGTAAATCCATTTATAAGTCCCGAAATAATGATTTAAAAGTTAAATTGAACCAAGTATTCTATGTGAATTTTATATTTAATTTGCCGATGACATTTTGTCAATTTCCTTGGGAATTGAAATACGTATACGTATGTACTTGAGATCAATAAGAAATTAAAATCTTATCTAAAATCAAACACTTTATTTGTTTTTAATTATTTACTATATAAATATACTAGAATATATCGGCTAGACTCTTCATATCGTATATGCATATACTTATATCAAATAAGATTTTTGAACAATGCATTATTAATTTTGAAATTCATTTTAATCATTTCTTTGTTTTAAATATAATTAAATATGCGGAATATTTATACAATAAGATTGCTTAATATTTAATCTTATCAAATATTTAAAAATCATTTAATTCAATTATTTATAATTAAAGCATACTTTCATTGATAAAAGTTAAAACAAAGGAAAATTAATTAAAAATTAATTATTTTAAGTAAGTTAATGGTAAACAATTCTAAATATATGTACTGGGAATGAATGATTGTATAGTGTTATTAATGATTTATTGACATAACAATTTACAATAATAATGATTTTAAAATAAGTAATACCATGGAATAGAAAATATACACAATTTAAAGTAATCTGGAATTTATTTTGTAATTTTCTAATTAAATTTAATTTTAAAATTCTATACCGAAAATTTCAATATTTTTTAATAATTTCCCCTTCACCTGAAGTGATAATATTATGTAAGTGCTCAAAACCTTATTTTAATAATTACAAATCGCCATCAGTATTAAAACAATACAATTTTAGGGAAATGTGATTCGAAACATTTCTATAATATTTTTTACTAATTTAGGTTAGTGCATTGTTTTTAATTTGATCATGGAAATTTTCGAATACTTGTTCTAATATCTGAGTAATCTCTAACTACTTACCGACCCCATTACATACAATAAGGGAGGTTATGTGATAATACAATAGTGTAATATACTACCGGTCTGACAGACAGTTTGTGCACTTCCAATCGTTATTAAATCGCTAGTATTTTTAACAAGTATTCTTAGCTTTTCAATTATTAAGTAAATTTTTATTGAAAATTTATTAATTACTTTGTTTGCTTAATAATCATAACTAGATCTAATTATAGTTAACTTTCTCATTAATATTATTTTTTTTAATAATGAATGACAAAATAACAATATTTTTAGTTAAATAAGTAAATATTTATA